TCACAAAGATGTAGCAGGGGCTATCGCTGTCAACTGCACGGGACACCCAACTACCGCCCAGGTCCCAGCAGTGGCACGACTGAGAAAACTGGATGGGAAAAAACCCCAAACACAGTGTATCTTTACCAATGCCCTCCTACCTACCTCAGCTGACCCCCACCCACCAAGACAAGGGGATGCCTGTAACGTTTTCTGAGACATCGGCTTTCCACGTGCTCTGCAGCCTATCTGAACCCTATGGCCACTCGCTCCGTTTGATGTAGGGCTGCGGAGATGCCACAGACAGACTGCCATGGAAACATTTGCTTTCATTTACTGCTGTCCTGCACGATAAGGAAGCCTGAGCAGTAGAAGAACAAAGAAAGAAGTATAAATTATCAATGGGCTCAGACGGCTGAGCCTTTGAAAATTAAATCTAATTATTTTACCATTTATTTAGACAGATTATGCTATAGATTTCTGATCTCACTTTCTGATTAATAATGTGTATGTTTGGAGCAGAAATGACGAAGGCAAATTCCAACCTGGTTTAGGAAGACACTTCAAATTAGGCTACATACAAGGGAGAGGATGACAGCTGGTTCCACTTGCATCTTTTAATTAAAATGCAGTAGTCTAGATAACAGAAAATTGAGATGGGGCAGAGAGGGAAGAGGAGGGAAATAAATCCTAGAAATAGCCTAATTGTACTGCAGCACTTGAAAAGCCCTACTTAAACTGGGAGGAAACCAGAAATAAGTTATTTCTGTTTGTTTTCTTGTATCTTAGGAAAAACTTGAACTAGTGCGTTCACTGCCTTTTTTATGTTTTTTTTAGATCAATTTGCAGTCCTGGATCTTGCTTTATTTTTGGTTCTTCAAACCAGCAAATGCATAGTATAGGTCTAGCTAGCTTAGCAGAGAAGTCTTCAGCACCCTCTTCGCAGTGCAGTTTTGGCCTCAGCTGTGGACTCGGCCGCTTTTGACAAAAAGCATTTCTGGTCCTGATGCCAGCTGGGAGAGTGCAATGAAGAGCGCAAGGAGAAGCGCTTCCACTGGAGATAGACATCTAGGGGGAAATCACTGCTCAGCACCCACCTGAGCAGACTGTCTTGATCCCCGTGACCAAGCGCCTATTAGAAACCTCCAGCTTCTCCATGACATGGAAGAACCATGTAGCCACCCTGAGGCCATTTTTCTTTGACGGAGTATCAGGGACAATGTCAGCATACAGCAAATACTTCTGCTCCAAAAGCCAACAGCTGTCCCTGAACAGGTGAAGCACCATTAGATGGGCATCCCACCTCTGAAAGGGAACATCCCTCTTAAATAATCCTGCCGCTACCATCTGTAGGCTCCCAGACGGGAGCAGCAGTGGGGGTACAGACTGTAACGCTTCTGGCTCATAGTTTTGGGGAAGGATGAATGAACAGGTTGGGTAACCTACTTAACCTGGTTTTGGCTTGTAATGTCTTACTGCATGAAAGACTTTCTGGGTCAGGATAGATACAACACACAGGCAGTAATGCTGTGGGGCCTCAGGAGAAAGCTTTTACCTGGCATTTGCTTAACATCCTTTCACCGAATAGATACCACATTAGATGAATCACGGTTAACCTCAGCTTTGAAGTTACCCCCACTCCATTTTCCCCTGTAGATAGATCTCATACAGTATGAAAAACTCCTGGTGTCACAAATGCAAAGTACTGAATGTGAGAGAGACTGAAAGATACAGCAGAAAGCAGTGAAGATGCTCAGCGTTAAATGTGGGATAGGAAAGAGGGGCTTCTGAAACAAAGGACACCAAGGGGAGAATGGATTAACCAAACCTGCCTCAGAAGCATCTCACTTTGTGAGTACGTGCAATTTCAGCTGTCAGGTCATTAACTGGATGAACACAAAATTGATAAGTGTAGGTTGCGCTCTACTTGAGAGCAATAAGAGCCTTTAAATTATGTTAATATTTAAACATATATAAAAGCATTTGTCATTTGCAAAGCACTCTACAGAATAACTGGTGGATTCTATAATGATCCCCAACTCCCAGACTAGGGAATACAATTCAAGAGGGATAAATATCTGGCCCACGTCCAAATCAAGATTCACTGACAGCTATTATTCTAGCTCAGAATTAGTTTTCTAAGTTTCTGGTCCTTCTAGATCACACTGCTTTGTAGCCTTCAGTGGGTAGAAGCATGACACACAGACAGAGCTGGAAGACAGAAGCTGACAGCATGGGATGACATTTCTGACTCACATCCACGGATTGTCGCATCCCTACCCTGGGCCACCATCCACACTGAAAGATGCAGCTAAGTGGGTTAAACACAAGGAATGGAAATATTAAATATTTGATTGCCACATGTTGCCTGCCCCTCTCCACTTCCCTTTAAGGAATTAATCTTGGGGAATTTACTGATCTCCATAATTTGTTAGGTCTTTCAGTATACTTTTTTTATATATGTATTTCCCCTCCTGCCCCCAGTTTAAAGGGATACAGTAAGTTCACTTGTAGGCGATCCTTAAAATATGATAGCATTTTTCTGAAATGTGACAGATGATTTCTCACACTGCAGCACTGAGCTTCTGTGAAACAGCCACTGAACTTTGTTATTACTCAACATTACTGTAGGAGAGCTTCACCTTCAGCCTCCTACGTGGCTTCCTGAGATGTCTCCCGAGCCAGATCCTCAGTCTCCCTGCCCTACTAACTCCCTTAGTACATACTACTTCTCCCCAGGAGAAAAAGCACAGTGACAGTCACATAATTTCTCTTGGCTGGACACAGCATCCTTTTGCTGTAGCTGAACTTTATGCATATAGAAAGTGGACTCTCCTGGGGATCTACCAAGTGTTCCCAGAGGCCAGAGAGGTACCTGCGGTGGTATCCTCAATGCACACAGTATGCCGGCAATACCATCTAGGAAGGATGTAAAGTCTGAATCGTCCATTTAAGGTACGTAAATGCATGTGTCACTCCAGCTGCACTTGTTCCCTGAAATATCTGTGCCTTCTGAACTGCTCCCTGAAATATCTGTGCCTCCTAACTAAGTTCTGTTTCAATGCACACAATGCTATGCTCATCATCATAGCTTTGTCATTTGAAGATTCATCCTTTTAAGAGCTCTACTCTCTCCAATATTACATTCTGCCTAGGAAGTCTAACCATCTTAGTAGCAGATAAAGTGATTACTGATGACAGTCAATACAACTTCAAAATGTTTCAGCAGTGTAAGTAGAAAAAATGCATACAAAATTTATATCGGACATTATTCAAGAGCTACTCAGAACCTGCAAAGCAGAGCAATCTGACAAGCAATAAAATATGGTGACACTTCAACTCCAGCAGAGTCCAAGTTTAGCGAAAAAGTGGAACTTCCTAAAAGCAAGTATTCTTCACAGCATTTTTTTTGCGTAAGTGGAAATCTCCCCTTCTGCTCCATCTTGTATTCTCATAAAGCTCAGCCTGTTAGACAAGATTTCCATAGAAATCCTCTTTGGTAAAATTTGCTTGATTGTATTCCAAAAAGTGACTCACATGTTATAACCAAGTGGCAAAAGCTGAAACGAGTTTGACTCTTTCCATCAAATCCAGTATTAGTCATTCTTCCAGCTTAATGGTTCGCACGCTATTCTTGACAGACAAAACTGGGACCGCAGGTCAAGAAATGGCAAGTTAATAGTCACAAAGTATGTGGCCACATAGCTATTGCTAGCCTGAAGGAAACAACACAGGACTTGGCCAGTGAAACTGAAAGATACTCAACAGCATGACTGCTAAGTTGCTGCAAGAGTAATAAAACCACACCTCCTGTGTTAGCATTGAAAAATTTGGCCCAAACTGCAAAGCTGGGGTTAAATAAAAATAATAGAATTCTTCTTCACCTGCCACTCTCCAAAGCGCTTAAAACAAGAGCGGCTGGAGGATGTAAGGGCTGAGGGCAATCTGATTGTAAAGACATCAGGATTTGGCTCCCAGTCAGATACTGCTTTCCGCCGCCCTCCCTCCCCCTTTGTGTTCCTGCGGGTTCCCCTTTCAAGCCTGCAGACTATCCCATCTCTACCTTTATACTATTCTGTCCTCCCTAGGTGTTTTTTCTTCTCTGCTGCACCCTGCGGTTGCCCGAAGAAGGGCTGGCTTTGCTGAGCCCTCCAACACACATCCTTCCCCTCCCGGCCACTGCGTGTGGCTGCCTCACCTAAAGCAGGCTCAGGACAGGCTGGTCCACTGTCCAAAGATCACCTCAGTGGATGGAGAAATGGGTCCGCTCTGAGATGCTCAATTTGCTTATACACACACTGAGATGCTGAATTTGTTCCCTCTCTGCTTCTCCATGGCCTTTTGGAGTAGAAGGCAAGGCACATCCTCTTAGCATGGGTCTGCCCGCAGGCACAGACCTGTTCCTAAGCGACAGCAAAGACCATCCCTCCCAAAAGTAGGCTTCTGGCAAAGTTCCAGCAGGGAAGGCAAGTTTCCTTTCAGAAAACCACCAGCAACTTTCCGCCAGCAAGGTTCAGACACAGTTATGATTCATGGGTATCGTGGAGAGGCACATAAAACTTGCCACTCTCACTGCTATTTGCTCCTGACATTTCCTCTGCCTTCCCTGGGTGTCTCTCATACCCCTGCTGATCTCACAACAGTCAGAATTACTGTTTGGACTGTGACTCAATGTGAGTCTCAACTCAGCAAAGTACCAAGGAAAAAAAGAAGCCCTGTGGGATCAAATCTTTCTCTCTTTATGGGCTTCGCTGCCCATAATTCATTTTCTGCACTCTGTTGTGGCATGTGCCGACATAAAATTAATCCGAAGTCTCTGGCTGTTCCAGGGACAGCTCACAATCCCTCACCCAGCTCAAATCTGTGCAACGTCTTCAACCTCCAGAGCAAGCAATGGAAGCACCTCTGTGCTTGGCATTGGCGAAATATCAGGCCATTCATACTTCTGCTTAAATGAGGAATCTAATTTCAAATATTTTCCTCCAGACAGGATGCAAAAAAGAAGACAAAACGTAATGTACCTCTACTTCACATGCGTATTCCGATCCATCCAGGAGCGTCACTTTGCACTGCATATTTTTCGGCTTCTTGACGATCTTTAGAGGAGACTTGGAAAGTTTGCTAGACGATGATTTTTGAGAGAGCTTGTCGTCCTCTAGCTGCTGGTATTCCAGCTGTTTTGCACTCGCAGCGGCAAACTCCTGTTCCTTGTCTGTGGCCTATAAAGAGAAAGAAAGATATGTTTGGAAGTGAGATAAACCGATTATGCAATGCTGTACACGGTGCACCCTGCACCCAAGCACATAAGTGAGCCTAGTGTGGGGCTGGGACAAGAAAGCCCCTGATTCAGGACAGAGTCTTCTTTACCTATCGAAAAGATTTCCCATATTCCCCATATTCCTCCCAGCCCTCCCTTCTCACTCCAGAACATACAGAATACCTATGAAGGAGGGGCATGCATGAAAATATTTTTTCCATAGGTACAAAATCCTGCTTGGACTTCTCAGACCTGGGTTTTTTTTGGTCTGTTGTAAATGCTGAATACTTGGTAAACACTGTGATGTTTCCTACAGTTTCTTGAAATTACTTTTAAGTCCTGTACCCATTAAATCATAAGGCGCTTCCATGGTGTCTTTGGGAACAGGAAAATACCACTGGGTTTGCACTAATTTCACTGTCAGTGAGAAAAGTCCCCTGAATGAGGGGATGGGCCCACCCGTGACATTGCGAATTTGCAGGGGGATGCTGACGTGCCTGGGAGAGCAAAAGGCTCCCCAAGTCCCCGAGCAATGGGTTAAACAAACAGGATGAAAGTGAGGGGTCAAACGACTTTTATGTGCAGCCGGCTGGCTAATGGATGATAACTACAGGATGAGAGGCTGAATTTTGCTCTCCACAGATGCCCGATAAGTCCCTCAAGCTGGCGAGAAGTAGGTGCTATCTGAAAGACAAATATACTACAGGGGAAAGGGGAGAGAAGAAACAACCGTGGTCACTTTTACTTGGGTTTATTGGAGGGTCAGACCATTTGAAGAGTTACCACGGCGCAGCGCAGCCCGCGGTCCTCTCCACGGCATTAGATGAAAGCCAGAACAGCTCCACAGCATTTCACCCTTCCTAGCAACAGCACTATGCCGCAGTCATTACCCTTCTCATCAGTTACGGCCCTGAGAGTCTCCACACAAAACCTCAACAGGAGTTCAGTAATACCTCAGCTAAAGCCCAAATGAAAAAAAAAATAAATAAAATAAATCTTTCCATTATCTCACTATAAGAGAAAAACAAAACAAAACAACTGGTTTGGCTCTGAATGATTTTAGTGTAATAAGCAACAAGCATTGCTGGAAATACATTGTAAATTAATCCTCCAAGCCTGTTTCCATTCACTGTATATAAAAAACCTTCATGAAAATGGAGCAAATCTGTCCAAAAGCTTTAATCTGCTTTGAGACCAGAACAACTTTGCATCGTATAACCAGCAACAAAGTATACCGCTAAATCACAGGGAACCTTCCCCAAGAGATTTCCTACAAATAAGCCATAAGCTTCTCTACCTTCAGGTGAGTGGGGGAAAGAGAAATTTGAAATCGGCTCTGCTACTGACAGTGCCAGCTCCCACCAAAGCCCCAGCAAACTGCAGAGGCGCAACTGCAAAGAGGCGAGGCAAGACCCCCGCTCCTCCCTTCCCTGCGAGAGAGCGCATAGCAAAGGTCTCCTGGGCTTCTCTGGGTGGGGAGACCAGAAGAAAGCGGGACTAGAAAGATAAAAAAGCAACACAAAAGCTGCTTTCAAAATCCACTTCATCCCCTGAGCCATGGATGTTCTTCCCCAGGAGCAGCCCAGTGCCAGCCAGCTCTTCTCCTGTCCAGCTCCAGCACTGGAGGACTTTCTCCTTCCAGCACTTGGATACCAGCTTGGTGTCTGGATGTCAAGGTCCTCGCATACCTTGAAGGCTGGCGGGAGATGAAGGCACAGCGTACGTCAGCAGATTAGCCGTTCGCTGAGCATTTAACGCTCACAGCAGCTGTGACGAAGGGGGAGAATCCCCCCAGGCTCAGAGCAAGGCTGGAAGCCAGCTACCCCTCTACCACTACCGGCGGCCAGCTGGCAAGTGGTCCAACCTACTGCACCGAGAGAAAAACAAGACTGAAGATGTCTCCTGCTGGGGCCTCTGCGAAGAGCTACGCTGCTGCTGCTGCTGGGCAGAGGGGCTCTTTGATGATTTCCGTACGTTTTGTTAAAGAAATCTGCACATGCATGGGTGTGGGTGCAAAAGTCATTCCAGGGCTGGAAAAAAAAAAAATACCATTGTACCCAGTGGCTCATTGGATTTCTCATGTGAACGTTAACAGCCCACCACAACAAAAAACCACAGATGCATGGAATTAATCTTTTTCAAGAAAATGGGAAAGCTGCTTGAGAGAAAAGCCCAGGACAACAAGGGCACCCAGCAGCCATTTTAATTTTAGAACCATCTTCAGCCTGCAAACAATTTCTGTGAATCCTAATGGATTGGTGATTATTTTCCTTCATGAAGACACATTGTATCTCAAGACTACAGAAGACATTTGCTTATTTATAAATATTTTTTTAAGAAATAGTATTGAGGTTATTTTGTTTGTTAAGGTTCCCGTCTACATTAAGATCAGGGGAATGTGTCTAGGTTAAAAATCAGACAAAGAATTTTCTCTCATTTGTCTGGAGAACAAAACATGCCAAGAACTATTAGAGAAGATCCCCAAACTATACTGACATGTTCAGGCACTGAGGTACTTTCAGACTGTATTAAGCCTCTTCTTCCTAAAGAAACCTGACATCCTGGTATCTCAGGGAAAAAAAAAAATGGCCAGTGAAAAACCCATGTACTCAGTGAATTACTCTGAACTCTGCAAGCACAGCTGCATTTTCTCCCAAATTCTTGCCCACGAAAATGCTGTGCAGTATTTTCAGTGTCATGGACTCAATTCTAGTACAGCACAAGTTGCTTCAGGGTTTGTGGTTTTTGCACATAGGCTGTCTCATTTCTACTTATATTACTGTACCTTACTATGACACAGTATGTCCAAAGCTGGACGCCCCCTCTCAAAGCAAGCCTTTGAAGTCGCAGGATTAAGCAGTAATGATCTTTGATGCTTCACAGCTTCTCACTGGGGTATGAAGTGATATTACCAAGCTTGCACAATGCATGAATCCCATCTACTTATGATAGTTGCCCAGAAGTGTCAGTGCCCAACCCATGCGATGCCTTCTTGCTCATTTGCAATGAGACAGGAAGGCAGGAAGATAGTAAGATTGCATTATTATATCTGATAGAAAGGACTCATTTCTGTAGTTAACTGCTAATATCAACATGAAGAAGCCTTTCTGTCTTCATTAAAATGCTCTTTTTTATGCATATAGAATGACAACAAAAAGTCATCGCCATGGATTGGTAACTTAAACCTTTCTTCCCAAAGCGCTCTCATACAAGCAATGGCAAAACCCATCAACTTCCTCACGGCAATTAGACATGGCAAGAGAGAGAATGATACCCACCACTCCTTCAATTTTTGGCTTTTGTAATGACACCGTTGCCAATAGCTCTCTCTGTGCTGTGTTTAAGTGGTCCTTTCCTGTGATACAGACACTTAAGCCACTGCAAAATATACTGGGCAAATCACTGCAGCTGGATTTGGCAGTCAGCTTACAACAGGGACTTGCAGATTCAAACTGGCAATCTCAGTGGGAAGGTCTTGCATATCCCTTCACTGACCCAGTTCTTCCATCAGGGCTTCTGCAGACACCTGCCCACAGGTGATCTTTGGGAAAGGAAGGCGCACATGGCACATGAGTGCATCTCAGGTCTCCAAACTCACAACTCCATAAACACAGACAGGCAGGTTTGGTGCCTGAGGGTTTGGTTTGGTTTTTGGTTTCTTTTTTTTTTTTTTTGTAGTTTTGGTTTTGGGGGTTGTTTTCTTTTGTTTAAGATGAAAAGAAACTTGGGGTGGAAAGATTACTGAAGATGTCTGGAAGAATAAAATTAATAATACTTATGTCTAGGCCTGATAGAATCATATTTTAAATTAAAGACTAGTTTGTGCAGTACCTTTCTCTTCTGGAGCAGCAGCCCTGCCTCCTTTCCCCAAACTAACTACATGCAATTGCTGATCTATTTCAGAGACCAAAATTGTCCTAACACATGGATGGTGGGCATGGAGTGAGGCAGATCAGGATTTATCAATGACAAAAATAGTTAGCAACAAAAAAAAGTAAGCAGTTCTTCCAATGGTTGATCTTCAACAGCAATAAACATCAGAAATCCTGCCCTGCTATGTCTACCTCTTGAGATATTCGAAGTCAGATATAAGACACCCCTTTTAATTTGGTCCCAGAAACATTTGTTGTCCCAAGCATTTGGGTAATGCACCCATAAACTAGGAAGACACAAAAATACTTTGTTCATATCTGAAATTGCTTACACCTCCATTTTTTCCCCACTAACAGCAGTAGCTCTGTGGACAAAAGCTTAAAACCCAAGACCACAGGCAGCCCCAAACAGCTTCTGTGGGAGCACTCGCGTGGATTTTAAGTAACACCTTACAACTGGTTGCTTCACCCGCACTGTCTCGCCCAACTAGGTAAAAATACCAGGACCTCACTTCAAATAACCTGATTTTTTTTTAAAGGGTGGAGGAGAGGAGGAGTTAGACTGACTTATTCCACTCTTCAAAGGTGAATGTGATCAGACGGGGGTCATAACCTTACGGAGCTAAGGGATGCGATTTGCAGGTACCTCATTAATTGTGTGTCACCTACCCACGAAGAACAATGCCTGTTAATCCTATTGACTGGAAATTATTAATGGGAAAAAGAAAGCAGCTTCCGCAAATTTAATAAGTGCAACAATGAACCAAACCGAAAAGCATGCGATAGCTCTTCTGAAACCTATTACATGAAAAGTTAAAGTAATTATAATGCAGTCATTTCAGAGCTACGAGAAGCTTAAGGGACCACAGATTCTTCATGGCTCACACATCAGACAAGCAAGCATGAAATCAGTTTTCAGCAGGTGTCAAAGAAGAAATGAACTCTGAAAACATTTTCAGCTTCTTAAAAATTGGCACTGTTGGCTATCTAATCCAAAAGCAAGATAGAATATGTTTCCTGCTTAGTTAATAAGACTGCCCTTATATTTAAGCACTGGAGGCAGAAAGACCTGACATGAATTTCAAAACATTCTCCGTGAGCACTATTATTTTTTAAATGCAAAAGACCAACCAGTCAAGACCTGCGGTATCACACCAAACAGCCTTCCACCCATATCCAAATATATATTTCTGCTATTAACATACCAGGCTCATTTTTTCCCAGGAGCAATAAGAGGGCACATAGCAAGCATGCGTGCACGGGGTCCCTTACCTGCTCCTTTTTCACCGGTGTGCTGTGGGCTGCCACAGCCGAGAACTGCTCGAGCGCGTTTTGATGCTCTTCGCTCAACTGCTGCTGCTGGTCCTGCGGCTGGGTCTCTGCCGCCCCTTGCTGCGCAGGGCTCTCCTGCTGATCCTGCTCTTTATCCTTGGACTCAGAGTCCGATCCCGATTCTGTAGTCATGGTTGGTTATTCTGTAAAACAAGGTGAGCAAACCTACTGAGTACGATCTTGTAGCCGTGAATTTGTAGGCTAGGCTTACAAAATGGAGAAACATCAGGTGCAAAGTTTTAGTCTTAATATGCCCAGCCTCTAAAACTAAAGCGGCTATTACTGGCCCAACAAGGATACTTAGGAAAGCTTCCCTGGTGCAAAAGACCAGGTCTAAATGTATCCATACTCTGAGGAAGAGCACGCTGCCATAAAATCTTATTCTACATTGTAACATACAGACATTATAGGAATTACGTTGAAGTTACACACAGACATTCAGTTCTACATAGTTGGTAATTTGTAGCCAACATTTGTGGAAAGTAGCACATTCAGAAAAACTCGTGTGATTGAAAGCCCTAAATCCAACAAAATTCACTGCAGTTTGGGTTTCTAAATCATGCAGAAACTTTTGAAAACATGAAATCTTTTGTTCTTTACATTTAAGGCAACAGGGCTTGAACTCCTCAACACCCTCACTCCCTTTTGGAAATGGACTCAAGTACTTTTGATGCTTCCAGGCAACGCATACGCTAGAAACATCTGAAGTGGGCCCATCAACATTAGTGCAAACGTACAACTGTCCTTCAGCACAGTTCTGTCCTTCCCGCTTGCATTCACCAACCCTTCTGTCATTTCTTTCTAGGTGCTGGAGCACCCAAAAGAAAAGATAAATACTTCCATTAAGGCATTCTAAGTGTTACATATACAATAAAGTGACTTTCCTTGAATGTGAAAAGGCTGTTTAAACTTAACTTTGTCCAGTATTAAACCAAAATGAAAACATTAGCAATATTCATTCAAAATCTGAACTCTTTCCATCAAATAGTTTCATTACAAATACATGGTTGGCACCCAGTTCTCACACTATATAGAAGCAAACCCCAACTTTAAAAAAATACTGTGATTTTGTATCAAAACAAGGATTTGAAAAAGCAGACTCTGTGCCAGTTCAGCAAACAGTCTGCTCTTACATTTGATGCTCGTACGCTTTTAGTCCTCATGGTCTTACCCTTGAGCATTTTGCTTTTAAGCAACTCAAAACCAAACCAGTCTGCTGCAATCTATTTCTGTTCGTCATCAGGCCATGATTTCTTTAACCTGGTAACCATAGCTACTATGTAATTATAAGCAGTTCCACAGAACATACATCTGCTAATTCATCTGCTAGGAAGTCACTATCAACTCTAAACATACACTACAATGTTTACTAGCAGAAACACGTTTATTAAAGATCACCAAAAAAGTACAGGCCTTTTTTTTTTTTTTTTTTTTTTTTAACTTAAATGTTTAATAAGCTACCTTGCTTGACAGAAAACATTTCAAATGAGGCCAATTACTATTTTCAAACTCGTTTATGTATTTCTGCACTTTGGAGGCTAAGTCCTCCAGTCTCTGCACAGCAAAGCAGGCACCCAGTATTCAGCCTGGGCTCCGTTCTTGCTCTGCACGTGAGGATGGGGGTGCCCATTCCTACCTCCCACGTGCCAAAACAGCACAAAACAGAAGCAGAACTAGAAAGCACGTATGGCAGATTTATCCTTCAGGCTGCATTTTGGAAGTACTAACGTGTAAAACACCTGTTTAGGAATACATCATAGATTTCTACACTCTAACTGGCACAGTTATATCAAAAATACCTTTTAAAAATGTATTATTTAACAAATTGTCTTTAGCATCTACTGAAAGCAATAATGAACACATGGCTTTTAAAATGAGGCAGTCGGAAAAGGCATTCATCTAATCAACCTTCAGATGTCCACATCTGAGATGGTCGCTTTAAACGTGGAGGAAAAAACCCGACGTTTCAGAGCGCGATTCCTCTGACCTATTTTAGATGCCTGCTTTAAGCTGAGATAAATCGCCCAGTGCAACTTCGTCCGACTCGCTACAAGGGAAGCCTGAACAAGTTCCTCCGATGCAGATCCAACAAACCCACCCTCCATTTTCAATTCTATTAAGTCACTCTTTCTTGTACGCTTTAAAAATTAAATTGCAGAGCAATGTTAATCTCTCAGAGTTTTGTTTTGCCCATCTGTCAGGTCGACATGGAATAAACTATTCTTCAGCTGATGCTATTACGGTTGCCTCGCTTTAAAAGCATGCAGGTCTCCACAAAATTCACAACTTTTTCCCTCTATTCTCAAACCACATTTTATAAAAGTGTATGAAGATATTAAATACAAATTAATCAAATAATTAAGGAAAGCAAACTATGAATTTGATTTTCTTTCCCACAAACTACAAATTATCAAATAACAAAAAGCTAACTTACAGCTACAAAATTATTAACAAAACAACTCCAAACAGCACAGATGATCAATACAAAGTGTTACGCATGGAAATTGTTGTACAAAGTTGGGGTTTTTTTCCTATTGATATGACTTAAAGCAGTGTAAATAGAAAGCAACTATGATACTTGCTGTCTTGAAACACAATCAACCTAAGTATCTCGAGGCATTACAGGATCAGATGCCTGCCGATATAAAACAAAGTCTGTCTTCCTTCAGCTGCCATCGCTGCATCTCTGGAAGCTCATTTTTGCACCCTATACAGCTTCTTTCCTAAAGAACATTTGAATTCTGGCTTTTCGTGAGCATGGAAACAGAGCCATTAAATTAGTCACCTAAAACTCAACTACATGCAGCATGAACTGAAAACAAGTTTTACTTTTTTTGCCAGTTTTAATTTTGCATCTCAAGGAACAACAAATGTGGTTCTTGACTTCTGGGACATTTCCACATGAAGCAGAGCCTTATAATACTGTGAGTTACTCTGGGACTGTTTCTTTCTCCAGTTGTACATGGGTCCTTGCTTGCTCTGAGAATGCTTTGTTAGAAAACTTTTTGTGCGTGCGTTATCAAATCTTTTAACATAGCGATTCCCTGGATACAATATTCCTGTCATTAGTCAGACAGCAGATGGATTTAATTAATCCAAGGTTACCCATTTCCAAATGTCTTCTTCATTTCCCTACGCACACTAATATGTTTAATAACAAATACTGAGAACAAAATACCATTGATTTCACGCTGTTATCTTACAGATGTAAATAGAGGCAAAGCAAACACACTGTGAATCCAATTTCTCACAAACTCCTCCGATGACTGTATCACTAAGATTCACCTCATTCCACCTACTGCAGGTTGAAAATACCTGAATTACAAGACCGAAAACAACATTCCTCTCTCAGTGCAAACCAACAGGTTGGTTTGCCTTCCTCAGCAAACAGCTGCTTATCCAAAAGAACTTTGAAAGCATTTATTTTTTTACAAATGGCCCAACAAGCCCCCTAGGAAGCTGTAGTTTCACTTATTGGAGGAAATAACAGTAATCTGAAGAAATTTAACAACATAAATATTACTCCACCTTTGTTTGTACGCAGCAAATCTGACAGAATAGCTAGTAGTGTCTACAGATTTGTCAAACACATATAATTGGCTGAGAATTTCTTATTTTTTTAGTTTATTTACTATACCTGGCTATGTACCAAAATCATGACTACTTATGTGAACTTCAGCACAGGAAGAAAGAAATCACTGAAGTTGCTTAAACTTTTCCTGTTGCCAGCACAACTCCCAGATCAAATTCCCCTTTCGAGCAAACAGAAAACAAACCAATGAAAAGAAACTACCTTATACAAATGAGGTAATACTAGGCAAGCCAGATGTGCTCTTGGAGAGCTAAGTTTTGGCTTACAACCTAATATTCAAAGATTCTAAAAGATTAGCTGAGTCCAAACTTAACACAGATGCTGCTAATACTGGAGAGTCTAAGGCTAAAGTCAATTTGGCTACAGAATTCAATCAGAATGAAAATCAAGTCTTTTGACTAAAGGAAAAAAAAAACAAAAGCCAAGAACTAGCTTATTTTAATGTACTAAAAAATAAAATGTATGTACTTTCAGCAGTGTAAAGGTTTAAAACATAAGTGCTTGAGAGTGCTGGAGAAAAATAATTAAGGGAAGATAAACATGAATGTACTATCAAGGTATTGAAACAACTTCAAAAGATCTACCTGACATATTTAAAAATAATTTCTATTAGATCAAATTAAAGAAAAGAAAACTTCATACCTTTACACTATACAGAGCAAAGATATTACATCAGGATCGCAAAACCTGCAAACCACTTGCACAAAGCCTATATCCTAAAACCTTCCAACATACCTAGTCCTTGTTCCCTATAGCTACCAACATATTGCATCTTAGGAGATTACCATTTCCATTACCAATTACTTGCTACGGACTTAAAGCGTGTAATTTCCTTTTCTCCATACAGGAACCAAAATCGTGTTTTCCTCTGTTAATAATTCTCCAAGCAGGCAAAGCCCAGGGCTACGTCACCTGGGCCCCTCCCGCAAGCAACAGTCACAATCTGCTGTATATATTCTGTATATATTCATACATTCAACAGGTTATTTGACTCCTTGCCCCCTGTTCTCAGAGCACAGACCTTCTAGGTTGCATTTACCGAGCAACAAAATTCACAGCTAGTTGACAGCAGAGTCCACAGTTTAATTAACCCAGCAGTCATTAATAACCCTTTATTTATACATAAATACACGCTAGTGAACATACCTGCTATATTAAGCAAACGGAAATCACATTACTGAAGAAATTGCAAATTAATTCTGAGTAAATCGTGATGTAATGACAAAACAAAATTGAACCAAGTATAATTAAATGAACTATACATAGCCACTATTTCCTGTAATGCAGAGATTAATGATTTACATTTAAATGCTTCTTTGATCTAATTAATTCTCTTTGTGGAAAGTTCTCCTTTAATTACAATAATTTCTGAAGATTGTTATAAATCATTGCGAAGGTCCAAATTTGGAAGTTATGCAACAAAATAATGATTCCATACTTCAAAAATAATGTTCCACATAACGAGAGACATATTTATCCAATAACGATGAGATGCTGATGAGAAGAGCATATGGAGAGCAATATTGCTGCTATGAGCAGT